TGAATGTGGAATTGGAGAACATAGCCCCACACAACCTACAAATTATGTGAGAAATCTTTAAAGAATTCCGACAAAAAAAGGATCCAGGGATGGTTCTAGATAGAAAATTGTCACCTGAGGACCACATTAAGAACATTGTGCGAGGAGCCTATGCTACACTTTGTAACTTTGGAATTGCTTTTAAATACATGGATGGAAAAATACTTAGAAATTGTTCACGACTTTTGTTAGACTAAAGCTGGAATATGCAGCGGTTGTATGGTGCCCATATCTTAAGAAGCACATCAACAAACTGGAAAGACATGCCACTAAGTACCTCCCAGAACTGAAGGACAAGAGCTACGAGGAGAGGTTAGAGGCATTAAATATGCCAAAACTAGAAGATAGAAGAAAAGGAGGCGTTATGATCACTATGTACAAAATAGTAACAGGAATCGATAAAATTGATAGGGAGAAATTCCCGAGACCTGGAACTTCAAGAACAAGGTCATAGATTTAAACTAACGAAACAAAGCTACCGGAGAAATATAAGAAAATTCACTTTTGTAAACAGAGTGGTAGACGGTTGGAGCAAGTTAGGCGAGAAGGTGGTGGAGGCTAAAACCATCAGTAATTTTGAATTGTTATACGTACAAAGAGAGTGCTGGGAAGACGGGACACCACTAGCATAGCTCTCATCCTGTTGCTACACTTAGGTAATTACACTTAGGTAATTACTAAAATTAATGCACTATGCTGTATTCTACTGCAGGCTAAAGCTATCACTTCTGAAATCTATTGCTAAAATCAAATACGGTAATTATTATAGAAACTGTACAGTACTGCATAAAGTCTCATATATAGGTTGTAAGTTCAAGTACATGAAAATAATTTGCTGCTGCTGTTTTTGCATATAATATTTACAAATATTTCATATGAAATGTTTTATTTAAACATATTACTCAGGGTTTCTAACTTCATATAAATACATGAATTTATAAAGAATACTGGCTCTGAGTTTTCCGAGAACAAATGCATTTTAAATTTTGTTTCAATGGTCATAAATTTCTATACCTGCATATAGTTTCCTGATGTCAAAGACAGGAAGCCTGTTAAGGTTAATGATTTCCTCCTAGACCAATTACTGATCTTTCCAAAGTTGCAACCCACAACAGTTTCTCCAACTTCTGGGTTCCTCTCCTACTTTCCTGCTAGGTGAACAGAGGCATCTGTTATGATCTGGCCCCTATAGTTGCATGTACGAGCCAGTATTGTATGGAGATCCGAATACCAGATTGTTTACATACATGCTGTAGGGACCCTTAGGTTAATTATTATTGTGATAACATATATTCACACATTACAGGGCTGTGAGAATGGTACTGGGGAAATTAGAGTTAGTTATATAAGCTAGGTTTAAGGAAAGTGTTTTTATGTCTGTAGGGATAGGTAGACATTTTGGCTTCTTATTTGAACATGGTGGGCTGTTAGTCCCTGCCAGATGTAAAATAAGTGGATGCTCTTAGCTAGTTAGATACACTAGCTAAACTACAATAGATACACTTCACTACATTAGATACTCTACACAAGATCCAAATGAGCCACAGGGGTGTTAGAAAGAATGTTTTCATTGTAAGTAGTTAACAGAGTGAATGCATTAGGCAGTGATATGGTGGAGGCAGATTCCATTCACAGTTTCAAATATAGATAAGATAGAACCCAGTAGGCTTAGGAATCTGAACACCTGTCGATTGACAGTCGAGAGGCGGGACTAAAGAGGCAGAGCTCAACCCCTTGCAAGCACAACTAGGCGAGTACACTGTGGTGATAATTTGTGTAATGTATTGTAAAGCTAGGATGTTATATTTATACTAGGAATTGAATGGTGGCAATTTAATATTATATTTAGAGATCAAGTATATTTTTACTGGACGGCAAGTTGGATCGAGCGAGCACCCAGAGTGGTGGGTTGCCGGCCAACTCTGTCTTCTTGTCTGGGAAGGCATCACGGCTGGACGTGGTTAATGAGGCTTCCTCCTTTTTACCTCCTTTCCTCCTCTAGTTTCTCAAGGTTTATTACCAAGATAAATACCTCTGTTTACGTGCCACCCTTCTGTTTTAAGGGTGTGTGTATTATCCTGGTTACACACACATCTTGTCTGTGTTACCCTGGTTAGAACCTGGAGATTCATGTAACTAAACCCAGGTCCTGGCCAGAGAAGCATGCGTCTGATATACATCCATATTTAGGGTAAGCGAAACGTAGACTTTACCACTACAAGTAGTTGCTGGTATGTGAATCGAGTCTCCTGCCTATGTGGTGTCATAAGAGTTAACGTAAAGTAGATGTGGTAGAGTATCCTGATGTAATTGGGGGTTTAGCGTTTTAATAGTGTAAATTTTAACTGGAGTTTATCATCCCCTCCCCCTTTGACTAGGGTTAGGCGATCTGCACCTAGACTGCAGTCTATTGTTTATTAGAATTTCGGGAACTAATTCCCTGTAGGCCGGGCTAGCCTAACCCCTATGTGGTACTCCCAGGAGGCTAGCCTAACCCCCTCTATGTGGTACTATGTGGTACTATTGGTCCTCTAACAGGTCCAAAATTATAACAGCATCAGGTGTATGGAAACACACACAAAGGCCTTGGCCTGCTCTGGAATCTAATATCAACATCATTTGGTTGCGAGCTGGCTACCATGACCACTGTGCAAAGGTCATCACACAAACCATATTTGTATTACTTGTTAACAATGCAGTAGAGGGGTTATCAAGGCTAAGCACATTTTACATAATGATCAAAACTAGAGTGCCAAAGTTTGTGGCTTGCATCTTATGCAAGCCACTAAAGTCATTAATTATATTTTAAACAAAACTGTCAAATCTAATATAAAACTTTGCATTACTTTTTCTGCCAATCAACAAACATGTACACTTTCAAAGCTGGTTACTCTTAAAACCACACAAAGGTTCAAATGAATATTCCATTCATGTTGTCTACATCATTTAAAATTAACATTGTTATGCCTTACAAACTCACTATACCTTGTACACTAATTGAATCTATCCACATGAAGTGCTTCATACAGCAATGGCCTCGCCTCTTAAAGGATCAGCGATCAGCCCAAGTAGTTGGGCACCATGCCTTCACTACAGCTCAATCCACAATGTATGACAAATTTTTTTTCCACCCATAGAGTTATAAACCCATAGAATTTCCTTCCCAATGAAACTGTAAATGCTAAAACATTACTCCAGATGGAAACATCCTCAGGAATAACATGGAAAACCTTCGTCAGGCTGCTGGCTTCCTGCCCCTGTCAAGGCCACTAGACATGCATGTCTAGTGGCCACTAGGTATGTGGGTTGAGTTATTAGTTTAGTAACTGAAATTATAACACTTTAGATCACCACCTAAGCTAAGGTGGTGGTCTAAGGTGAATAATGAACCTTAAGCTAAGGAGTGAACCCTAAACTTAACGAGCGTTGATGTGCTCATACAGTACCGTACCCAATATACTGAACCACAGTCAGGGACAGGACGTCCTGGTCGGCCTAGCCAAGCTCAACATTTTGCTCCCTGTTACCTACCCAGTTAATGACAATACCCCATAAACAATACCCCAACTACACTTTACTAAGTACTGTGCCCATCATGCACCACACCCACAGTTCTACATTATTTAGATACCGGCTCATGGTAACACTGCCATACAGTCTGTTTACATTCACTCCCTCAACCCTCACTAGGTAACCTGCATTTTACAAGCTCTCCATTAATACTCTTTTATATACAGTATGTTTATTTTTTTACATAAATGAGTATAGCTACTAATATTTTATACTATATCTAAATAATGCAGTGCCCCCATGGGCCTGAATCCAAATTGCAGTGCCCTCTGTGCCTATATCTAATATACTGTATAAATATTAGATATCTAGTTAAAATCACCAGGGAAATTGGGGGACCGTTGACATGTCGCTGGCTTCCTGTCCTCGTAAAAGAAACTAATGTGTTAATGGCCCTCGGGTAAATACACATTTCCTTTAGGCTAGTCAAGAGTTATTATTCCGACGATTCTCTTTTCTCGTTATCGAGAAGTACACAGAATAAATCCTGTATATGAGCCTAACTATAGAAAATTCTATAATGTAGTTAAAAAGATTTTCTCAGTGAAGGAGGCATAAGGAGGATCAAAATACAAGGTAGTGTAATAATCGAGAGGCCCAGTTGGTGGAGGCAACGGTGCTTCACACACAATTACAACCACACAACACTTAAACAATCAAGATATTTGTCAAGACACTCACATAATATCACTGCCATCATTGCTACCAGCACAGTGAGGCGAGTGACTACACAAGTTTTAAGTTTTAGTCTTTAATGTTTTTCCTGCCCGAAACGCTTTGCGTAATAGTGGCTTTAGGCATTGTATGTACCAGCTCTATCTATAAACCCAGCAATTTTTGTAAAAATCTCTTGTATGTATGTACCTTACCTGAATAAACTATTTATTTATTTATAACCTGTCACAGTGAACTGTCACCACAGGTGTATAGCATAGGTGCAATGGTATTATTGATTGATTGATTGATGTGTTAGGAGGCCCAGCCACCCTTCCCCCGCCGCCTCCCCTCCTCAGTACTAGTGGGTGTTAGCGTGGTGTGTGCACCCGACCTCATAATTAGCCACCAATGAGGGGGTATATACTGTGGTGTGAGCCACAGCCAGTACACGTCTGCCTCCACCACCACAGCTCACCCACCACCACCACACAACTACAACTTCTCACACAGTTATGGTGACAAGCCACAACCACCGAGTCACTCCGATATATACACCCATAAATCCCGCACTTGGCCAAATGGCTCCAATTGTTACATATTGAGTGAGTGAGTGAGTGAGTGAGTGCGTGTGGGAGAGTAAGGTAGGAGGCAGAGTGTCCCTGGTCCTCCACCAGCACACGCCCACCAACACCCCGCCACACACACACTAACCAACACTGCTATTCATCACCTACCTGACACACACCACTTGACGTGAGAATGTAAATAAAAGGAAATTCACTTGACGTAGCAGACGGCTTTACCACTAACAGCTGAGCCGCCAGGAGACTGACCACCACTTGCCACAAACCTCCCGACTCACTTTCATCACCTCCCTTTTTCTCCACCTATTCCGCCATATTCACCCAAACCGTGCGGCTAAAACAGTAATATTTACTGTAGGTATTGTACTGGATAATTCATGGAGGTTAAAACGAAGCAGTGATGGGTAATATGGGTGAGTAAAATGTGTGTGAGGCGAGCAGCGGCGTGCGTGACGTCATAGTGGGTGCTGCACCCTGGCTGGCCCGCCGCGCACACGCCCGCCAACTTTAAACTCAACTTTAAACACTCACCACCCACCATTGTTAACACCAACACCCCCACACACTCTCAACACCCACCATTGTTAACACCACCACCCCCACACACTATTACCACCCACTATTGTTAACACCATCCACCATTGTTAACACCAACACCCCCACACACACTCACCACCCACTATTGTTAACACCACCACCCCACGCTCTCACCAACTAGGTCCAGGACTACCTGGACCTGGTCCAGGACAAGCTGCCGCCCAGTTGGGTGGGTGTGGAGCAAGACTAGTAACTGTGTGACTATAATAGGCGTATTCGTTTAAAATTAGATAGCTGCTCCCGCAAGACTGATCTTATCTCATCTGCAGTTGCTAGTAAATCCTCTGTTTATGTGAATGAATGTCTGACCAGGTGCAGGCAAAATCTCTTTTTTAAACTGCGTGGCTTCTGCAAAAATTCCCCTACAATTAAACACTGTTTTGTGCGAGATGGTAAAATTATAGCTAGGAGGACTGACACTGGAAAAACCTATTCAATAACCACAGAAGCTCACCTTAATTCTTTCCTCAGTGACTGTGGGTTAGCTGCTGTATAGCCTGAATTCAGATTCTAATCTCATATAACTACCTTTGTGTACTCTAGCTCTGCCTTTCCCTTCAAAAGGTTTTAACTTTAGTTTAAAAAAAAAAATAAAAAATAAATAAATAAAAAAAAAAATAATATTGTCATCTTTATTATTGTCTTTTTTTTTTCTTTTTACTCCCATGTTCCATAGTACACTGGCTTTGCCTGTGTCCTCTAGTATTAACTTCATTATCCAATGTTCCTGAGTGTATCTCTATTTAATCTACCTCAGTTTGTTTTAGTGTAACTTTAGTATTCAATTATAGTGTACTTATAATAGTATAGTAAGCAAGCTTATTTTCTTATAGATTTCATAATTGTTTTTTTTTTACTTTTTTGGTCATCTATTGTTACTAATTATTCTAGTTAATTTTTTACATTCCTAGTTCCCATTAAGTTTTTTTTTTCTTTTTACTTAAAATTACCATTAAGTTTATTTTACTTTAGAATTTTTAATCTGTTTTTTTTCTTTGTTTTCTATTTTGTAATTTGCCATTCTTACCTTGTTTTCCTGCAATCAGCCTTTTTATGCAGACAAGTATAGACCCAGAACTAAACCTCTTATCCACTATCTATGACAATCATCACTTCAATGATCAAAATTGCAGATATTTTACAGCACATGATGTAAACAATGTATTAACAGATAATCTCAATATCTCTGTAATCAACTTGAACCACTATAGATGTAAAGTGCCTTGTATAGTGACTGTTGACCAACTAGAATCACTGATAGTACTGCTACGACTCTAGATCACATCTGGACCAACATAACCTCTCCGCTTACTTCAGGTATAATCACCGATAGCACTACAGACCATTACCCCACATTTCTCTTAACTAACATTAGCAAACCACCTCTAGAGACAAGGGAGTTAAACTTTAGGCTGCACAATGAAACTGCTATAAACAATTTTATAACTGCTGCTGATAATGTCAACTGGGAGTCCGAGTTAGGTAACATAGGGGACATCAACCTAGCAGTGAAATCTTTTCTACAAACAACTCTTAGCCTTTATAACACCCACTGTCCTATGCTTACAAAACAAGTCACAAGCAAAAGACTTAACAATCCTTGGCTTACAAAGGGAATACTTAAATCCATTAACAAAAAACACGACCTTGAGAAGAAGTATAGGCTAGGAACAGTCTCCAAAGAATTCTCAAAGAATTACTCGTTATTGCTATCTAAAATAATTAGACGAGCCAAAACTAAATACTATGACGATAAATTTACCCAAATAAAGAGCAACATTAAAAAAACTTGGAGCACAATTTCACAAATATTGGGATCAAAGAAGATTTTAAATAACAAACCAACACTCCTTTCCAATAACGTTGGTCAGCTTTCAGCCTCTGATTCTGCTATTGAGTTCAATAGGTTCTTCTCTTCCATTGGGTCATCCCTTGCAAATGATATTCCATCTTCCTGTACTGATGTTAAGGACTATCTTACAGGTAACTATCCACAGTCTCTGTACCTAAAGCCTACTAGTTCCACTGATGTCAATGAAATAATCCTTTCCCTTAAAACCAAGTCTAGTGCCCTCGAGGAGATACCAACTTTAATTTACAAAAAAGCCTCCAGATCTCTAGCCCCTGCTATTGCATTGCTCTTCAACAAGTCACTTGAACTCCAAACCTTTCCTGACATTCTAAAAAAAGCAAGAGTAACCCCTGTCTACAAATGTGGTGATCTCACTGATGTTAACAACTATAGACCTATATCAATCCTGCCTAACTTGTCAAAAATATTCGAAAAGCTAATCTACAAGCAGCTTTACTCTTTTCTAGCCAAACACAATATACTTAGCTCTTGTCAATATGGCTTCAGACCCAAAAAAAGCACTAACGATGCACTTATTAGTATGATTAACTTAATTCACGCAGCTCTTGATAAAAAGGAGTTTCCTGTTGGGTTATTTGTGGACCTGCGTAAGGCTTTTGACACTGTCAACCATCAAAACCTTCTTCTTAAATTACATCATTATGGAGTCAGAGGACACTCCCTGCAATACCTCAAATCTTATCTTACTGACAGGCTCCAGTATGTTTCTGTGAATAATACAATTTCTCCCACCCTACCCATCAACATTGGTGTTCCTCAGGGCAGCATACTTGGCCCTCTCCTCTTTCTCATCTACATTAATGACCTTCCAAATGCCTCCCAACACCTCAAACCAATTCTATTTGCTGACGACACAACCTTCATTTACTCCAGTCCTGACCCCCTGGCTCTAAATGCCACAGTAAATACTGAGCTAGAGAAAGTCCATCTTTGGCTAACTGCCAACAAACTCACCCTTAACATTGACAAAACGTTTTATATTCTGTTTGGCAATAAATCCTCTAATCAGATAAATCTCAAAATAAACAATACCCAAATTTGTAACAAATTAGATGGCAAATTCCTTGGCGTTCTCATCGACCACAAGCTGAATTTCCAGGGTCACATTCTAAATATATCAAAAAAAGTTTCAAAAACGGTTGGCATTCTTTCTAAGATCAGATATTATGTACCCCGCCCTGCCCTGGTTACTCTCTATTACTCCCTCATCTATCCATACCTCAACTATGGTATTTGTGCTTGGGGTTCTACTACCCAAAATCATTTACGTCCTCTCATTACCCAACACAAAGCTGCTATTAGGACAATAACCAACTCTGGCCCCAGACATCACTCGGTACCCTTACTCAAATCTCTGAATATGTTAGATATTAAGTCACTGCACATTCTCTCTTGTGTATTATACATATATAAAACGCTGAACTGTAATGCCAATCCTGACCTCAAAAGCTTCATTGAAGGTTGTAACAGAACCCATGAGCACCACACCAGGAATAAATACAGTTTTGATATTCCTAGAGTACGTCTTAATCAAACTAGAAATGCTCTACAAATCAAGGGACCCAGAATGTGGAATGACCTTCCCAACCATGTTAAAGACTGTACCTCTCTCAACCAGTTTAAGATAAAAACTAAACACTACCTAATAAATTCCCTGTAACCCACCTCACTCCTTTATTGTCAACCCATGTCTGTTATTTTATTTTATTATTATTATTTTTTTTTAATCAACACTGTTTGTCAACCTATTGTATTTGTGCTGCTTTTTCAGTCATGTTCCCCCTTTTTTTATCTTTATTTGTATTTGTTTTCAACACCTCTTATTCTTTATGCTCAATTAGTATTAAGTTCTAGATATTAATGTTTTTCTTGCCCGAAACGCATTGCGTAATAGTGGCTTTAGGCATTGTATGTACTAGCTCTATCTATATATCAATCCATTAATGTAACATCACTTGTATGTATGTACCTTACCTGAATAAACATATTTATTTATTATTTATTTATTTACTATAGATGTAAAGTGCCTTGTATAGTGACTGTTGTGAGCATACTTGGCCCTCTCCTCTTTCTCATCTACATTAATGACCTTCCAAATGCCTCCCAACACCTCAAACCAATTCTATTTGCTGACGACACAACCTTCATTTACTCCAGTCCTGACCCTCTTGCTCTAAATGCCACAGTAAATACTGAGCTAAATAAAGTCCATCATTGGCTAACTGCCAACAAACTCACCCTTAACATTGACAAAACCTTCTATATTCTGTTTGGCAATAAATCCTCTAGTCTTATAAATCTCAAAATAAACAATACCCAAATTTGTAACAAATTAGATGGCAAATTCCTTGGCATTCTCATTGACAACAAGCTGAATTTCCAGGGACACATTCTAAATATATCAAAAAAAGTTTCAAAAACTGTGGGCATTCTTTCTAAGATCAGATATTATGTACCACGCCCTGCTCTGGTGACTCTCTATTACTCCCTTATCTATCCTATCTCAACTATGGTATTTGTGCTTGGGGTTCTACTACCCAAAATCACTTACGTCCTCTAATTACCCAACACAAAGCCGCTATTAGAACAATATCCAACTCTGGCCCCAGACATCACTCGGTACCCCTACTCAAATCTCTTAATATGTTAGATATTAAGTCACTGCACATTCTCTCATGTGTATTATACATATATAAAACGCTAAACTATAATGCCAATCCTGATCTTAAAAGCTTCATAGAAGGTTGTAACAGAACCCATGAGCACCACACCAGAAATAAATACAGTTTTGATATTCCTAGAGTACGTCTTAATCAAACTAGAAATGCTCTGCAAAT